GAGATTTGGAGAATTTGGATTTTTCAACCTCCACTTTAAAAAGTGTCGAATCCCTTTAGCTTCGGAATTAGCAAAGTGACAACTTTTTCTCTGCCACGATAGTCACGTTCCACTTATTATTACGGTGCTGTTTCAATTTGAAGACACATGCACAACATGCATGCACATAAAAATATTTTAATACTTTCGCGAGCTAGTGTACATCGTAAAATTAAATCCTCCGCTTAAACTTCACTTTCGAATTGCCAGAACGGGCCAACGAGCAGAAACATTTATATGTTTTCATCTCCTAACACGTTCCACTGCGTGAAATTTTTCACGGACGATCCGAACAACCGTCGAACGGGAAAGCTCGAGCGATCGATTGTATTGGAAAACTTCTCGAGTCCTTGGACTAAAGTTAGAAAACTCGATCGACGCTTTCACGTGCGAGAAATTCCCGCTTTCCGTAATTCGAGGCGCCATTCTCACGCACGAGAACGGAAGTTTTCATGCTCAGCACGCAGCCATTCCGTTCCTCTGGCCGAAACGACGAAAACTATTTTAAATTCAAGGTCCGTTGCCTTCCACGGGTCACCGTCGTGATAAACTATCAACAAAAGCCATAGAACATCAGTGATCTAAAAAAAAAAAAAAAGAAGAGAGAACGGAGAATCAGTCTGAAATTCCTTGACCATCGACACGATTTTTTCGTGAAAGAGAAATTTTATCTGGCTAAATTAACGAAATTCCTTAAATCGATATGAAACTGCGAAGCCTTGCCAATTATAATTATAATTTCAGTCGTATATTAAACTGTTACCATCGTAGATTCTAACTTCAATAAAGTATGGAGTTTTAGCTATTTAATTACCTCAATGCTTTTTTACGATAATTATCTTTTTGACAATGAGTCTTTCGACTAATTATTACCACGAAGCTGTGAGAGTAAATTTCCGAACATTTGTACGTTTGTTATATATAAAATACTCTGACATTTCATTGAGACTGCAGTGAAATCTGACTGTCGTAATTATAGCAATCAAATTTGGAAGAAATTTAAAATACGAGTGTAAATTTCACAGGAATTGCAACAATACTCAAACAACGTAAATCCATAATATGTACGAATGAATGAGATTCAATGATCATGGTGAGACCATCTTGAAGACCACACTTAAAAATGGCTGTACTAATTTTTCATCTGATATACATTTGCGTAATGCGTAAATGTAATTTAATACACAGATTTAATAAATTAAATTAAATCTCATAATTTAATTTACGCTTTCAAATATCTCTCGCAAACTCAATATGCAAATTTAAATAAAAATTAATTGATTTTACATCTTTGCAATAGTACTCTCTCATAAACGTTTCGTACGATATAAATGATATACATATTGTACAAGTGTTCACATACTTTCGTGACTGTACGCCGATCATAAATTTTGAAAGAAAAGAAAAAGAAAGAAGCGAGATTATCTACATAATACAACTAGCGAACCATTTCGACCTCTCTAACCCCCCATTCCTGTTTTCTCACTGTTAAGAAAGTGAACGTTTCCCTTTGTCGCACGTCTTTCTGGCACGCGTTGCCGCGATTTTTCCCTTCATTCGAGCAAAACGGTGCGCACGCAACGAGTGGTTTACAATTTCTGTAACAGCATAAACGGCCGGTTATCTAATTGTCAGTATATATATATATATAAATTCCCGGTTATAGTATTCGCCCGGGAATTTAATAATATCTCTGGTCACACGTTGCGAAACACGCTGCACCGCTCCCTTTCTTTCTTTCTTCGTTTCTTTCCCTTTTCTCTCTCTCTCTCTCTCTCTCTCTCTCTCTTTTGCAAATGATAGCGACATTCTATGCGAGTTTCTTGTCCCTCAGTTGAGAAATTAAGGTTTGTGCAATCTATCGTTGGACCGATATCGATAAAAATCGCGTTTGCGCTGTGACCATTTGCACGTTTTACATATTTTGTATCTGCTTTATTATTTAGTCGAAGTGAAGGAATAAATTGCAAACGATCCCCCATTCCTCTTTCTTTGTTTCTGCGAGACTTTTTGTTTATCATCGAGCAACATCGAGTAACGATCATTTGAAAACTGCGCGAGACTCCCCGCAACGTAGCGCGTAATTCAAAAGTTATTCCATTGTTGTTTCATCAATACATCAAAAATACCAAATTATTTATAATCGTTAAGCCTAGGCTGTTGAGCAACATTTGGATTTGCAACGATCGTTTGAAATTGCGCGAGATTTCGTCTTATGTAACTTAGAACTCCTCGTAACGTAACGTGATTCAAAAATTATTGCTTCGCTATTTCATCAAATTATTTACAATCGTTAACAACAGGTTAATTTTAAATTTGAATTTAAATAAGTAATAATATACATATATATATATATATTTTTTTCTATAATATTCGTACAAAAGGAAAAGGAGGAAAATTATTTCATCACACTGCATCACTCCACCGAACAGAGTGATTCAAGCCCGCATTTTATTCGTGATTCACTCGCACGATCTATCCCACGAGTCTAATAGATCCCAAATTACATCGTGACCTTTCAGGAACACAACGAATTGAAGCTCCGAGGAAAGAATGGAAACGCTCTTATCTCCGGAACGGGAATAAACTATGAGGAGCGAGCTATCAATTTCAATTAAATTATCGCCTCTCGCAAAATGAAAATAATCCGAAATTTCCTACCTAAAATAATCGAGTTGAATGTTCGTTCGGTACACGTGCACGCGTCAATGTAGGAAACAAAGTTTGAATCACAGATTTAGCTCAACTACGCTAGAGGAATATTGTATGTAAAATAATGTATTAAATCCGTGAGGTTCGGAGTCGTCACGTTGGAATTTCGTAAGAGGCGAGTTTTATTACACTTGCGTTGCGTCATTCTATAGTTATAATGGCACTTCCACAGAAGTATAAAACTCTGTTTTTACACGCGATAATTCTTCTGCAGAAAAAATTTAATTCAATTCGATGATTTTTCACGAAGCGTAATGTCAGTTTAATAAACGATTGAATGTGTGATATATCAGTTAGTTACATTTTATTATTATGTCAACTTGTTACTTTACGTATCGAAATGTTGATTCTTCTGCAAAAATTTAATTCAAATATTTTCGGTAAAATTGTATTGAATTTAATAAACGACCAAAGTATATGCTGGCTGAGCGAAATTATTAATAAAAATATTCATCGAATTAAAAACTAAATTAATGTTACGTGAAACTATTACGTGTAAAACTTGTTTCTGTCCAAATGTCGTAGATCGTTCATTTCCCTCGTTTCACGAACATTTCAAATCAATGGAACGTCAGAGCCTCTATCAACGAGAAAATCTGAATGAAGCAGCTCGCGTGTGAAAGTTTCAACCAAGTCACGGTGAGAAGCAGCATGGACTCGCGAACACAAAGTAGGAAATGGAATACAAGTGTTTCCAGTGTAACAATAACTACTCAGACAAACTCCCGCGTAAAATCAGCGTTTCTGATACGTATGCTAATTCCTTTTACTTACTTCAGTTCTACAATGTAATTATCTCATCGCGTGTATCGCGTTGCTAATACATTAATACTATGTCATTAGTATATCAGTACGGTCATATTACCCAAATTCGTTACCATTTCTTACCAGACGATCTACTTGAATTTATATTAATCTAGACGAAGAATTACAGTAGATATTATAGCACAGCTTGTGCAGCAAGACTTCATTTATTTAAACAGTACTCGATTCAATGAACTCGTTTAACAGAACCTAAACTCCTACGAATGAACTCATTGGTGAGAAGAATCAATCAGACTGCTGTTGTATGAATTCCAATTAAAATGACACAAGTTCCCTATTACAAAATATCCCAACAAAACTTCCACAAAACACAATCTAAATATCATTAGTTCTTAAGAAACTCGCAAACGTTGTTAGGAATTAGTCATGTGTGAGTCGTCCCAAAGTACTTTGACCACGGACCAAAGTACAAAGAGTATATAAACGCGGCAGAAAAGATCAGCAGCAGTATATAGTACGTAATAGCCAATATTCTAACATTTTCACATCTACAAGTTTCGGAGCAAAGGTCTTATCTTGCTCGGACAAAAGTTTCGTAAAATTGTAAAGTATAATTTTTTTATATTCGGCGACAATATCCTCGATCACGGAAAAATCCTTCTGATGTGACCCATTTATTTGTCCTGTATAAAACGAACGAGTTTTCACGAGTGTGACAGCTCGTATTCCACGTATTCCAAAAGAGCTCGGGGTTTGAGTTTCTTCGTTCGTTCGAAAATTCCTACGCGGCCGCGACACGACGCGATATTAAGATTCAGTGGGCCAAGTGTTCGGGCCAGGACACATACCGGTGGGACCTTTGGAGCAGAGAGCGTGTACGACGCTCGGTTCATCGACTTCACCGCGTCGCGTAACGTTCCACATCGATTCGTCCCTGAGAGCTAGCCAACCAGAATGTCCCTCTGTGTTCATCGGCTACTCGAAAATTACTTCGCTCCACGGAACGTCGAAGCACCACGAGGGAAACCACCAGGGACCGGGGAGATCGAGTCCGATATCACTTACAAATCCAAGTCAAATTCAGATGCCGAAGTTTCGTTTCACGGCCGTTCGAGCATTAACTCGAAAGTAGAAATATCAGCAACGACAGCTACCTAGTTTCGTGAACCTAGTTTGATGCTCGGAGCATTCGAAACTTTCACTCGGATCTCGGAAATCAGATATTCAGGAGAAGTTGAAAGCTCGGACAGAGTGACATTGCACTCGCTCGTATTGTACACGTTTGAAAACGAGGTTTGCTTCTTCTTTTCAGTACGCGTGTATAGAGTGATTAGTTCATTAGACTGATAGATTGCATTAGCTTCTTCAACCGCTTGCGCTGGCAGGCAACTGATTGCGGACCATAACGAGTGACCGTATACAATAATTGGTCGCTTCTTCTTTTTGAGAAATTACTGAGAAGTAATGAATTTATTATTTGTTTTGCCTACTTTGTTTTACTCAAAATAATACAATTTTGGAACAAAAAATTCCAGCGCAAGAAGTTAATAGTGAAATCTTCCGTAACCATCTCTATCGATCAATATTATTTAAAAATACTCTTTTGATCTTCAGAAATACTCGTGAAGTGTTCGAAACCCATCTCTATCGATCAATACTACTTAAAATTATATTCTTTTCACTTTCAGAAATGCTCCAGAAATATTCGAAGCCCATTCTCTAACGATCAGTATTACTTAAAAATATTTTCACTTTCAGAAATACATCATGATACATTCGAAACTGATCCCCTGGCATAAATTCCAGCAAACTTGTAAGTACTATTGGGAATACTTGGAGATTTCGAAACTGACGACTGAAGGTTCGAACCTATTTATGACAATCTGTCCCTGGAGTATCGGTCGTCGGCGAGAAAAAAAAAAAAAATAATTCCCCCGACAGGCGCGATCCATAATTTTCACGATGATTCGCATAGAGTGGATATCGAGTGTAGGAAGAATCTCGGAGGCGGCGCCCGTCGCCACGAAATTTGCAGATATCTTTTTTCGGCGCGCGTGTGGGCAGACACGTGTCTGACTTTGTCTGGGTTTCCCCCCGACACACACACACACACACACACATACACGCACACAGTTGTACATACATAGTTTATGCACGCAAGCGTACGCCGGTTTTTGACATTCTCAATGAGGCGTTTCAACTACCGCGTTTTATGATTATTCGTACTGTTACACGTGTGCGACTCGACTGAATAGCATTTTCGATTGTTTCGTAGATTTTTCACTTTCACAGTGAGTTTTTAAACCGCTCGTGTCGCCGAGCGGAATATTCCACCGACCGTACCGAACAATGACCGACTGAGAATTTCATGTGTGCTGATATTTATATTTTTAATTAACATTTAGATTTGTCAATATTTGTATTTGACGCGTGTATTATCACTCGTACTCTTGGTATTTTCTTGCGATACGTTTTAATATTAACGGATACAATAAATATTTCAACACTCTGATAAACTATATCTGATCTGGTTAGTCTACTTTCTGTTTTGCTATTGCATTTATAATTTATAAGCGATCCTGCAATTCATAACGAACAAATCACTTAAATGTCACGTGCCTTTGCCGTAAGAGATAATACAGCAAAAATTATAGAAATTTTCAAGGTCTACCAAATTATCTCTAAATTATTACAAAATATTTTCATTCAAACTGGCACTGTACATCACCATTATACTATGTTACACGCAACGAATGTGTGAACTTCTTAATCTCTTGCAACAGTATGATCATATATATTATATCATTCTGTACAAAAACAATATTAACCCATTTGTATGTAAAAACATCAGCATGATATGCTAATTTTCAAACATTATTTAAAATGTTGGAAGTTATTTCAATCTTAATACCGTCTTACTTAATTCGTTTCATCACATCTCTTGAAATATAATCTACATACAATTATACTTCGTTACACATTGGTAGCTGGTAGTTCCTCTTTTGCATCTTTACAACGAGAAGGGAAATTATTGTTAATTACTTTTTTTATTCTTACAGAAGAAAACGAAGATGGAAACCAATAAGCAATATCAACAGGTTGTTTAACAGGTGTGCAATGACGAGGGATACATACGCATCCCATGTGTAACTTTTGCGTTGCGTAACGTTATAATGCTTGTGAAAATAATCCAGCGCTATACTATATAATGATATGATGATTTCCTCGAAATTGAACGATTTGAAAAAAAAAAAAAAAGTGAGAGTATAATCAATCCTCCAATCGTGAACAATTGTCATACTTCAACGAGCGAAATTTATAATCTGTGTAGATTTAAGTATCTTCGTAAAAAGACTTTTACACTCCGTTTATATGAACCTCGATTCATCTGTATCAAATTTCAATTGATACTCAATGCTGACCGAATCCACTTATTTAAACGTGAACTCTTGTTACATGAACGAAAAGTCACCAGTGGACCCGTCTCAGTAGACTCCTATTATATAAACCCTGATTATATAAACTGTTTGTCCCATAATAAATTTATATAAATGGAATTCTATCGTAACGGAGTAAATTGGACGCGACGTCGCCGTTTAAAGCGAAAAAGACGAGAATAACTTCCAACCTGGGCATCTTTCATTGGATGGATGCAAATTCCGATAATGGAGATTGATCATCGACGTCGATAACAAATTAAAAAATCCGCGTAAAAGGAAAATGATTAAAAGAATTTCCGATTAAATTGAAAAAAAAAGAAGCTTTCAACGGTTATTTAAATGAAAGGAAAAAAAAAACAAGGTCCCATTGAATAATCGCATAATTGCATTAGTCGCGCGTGCTAAACACGACACGATGCAGGCTCCGATGAATCAGAATCTTAGGCCAATTCCGATTGCGCAAATTAGAAGGGAAATCCTCCGTCAATCACGGGGACGATGATACAGAGACAAAGGCACGTGGGAGAAAATAACGCGTGGAAAGACGTACGAGTAACGCGATTTCGAATAAGCGTGGGCAGCGACTGGGAAAAAGAGATCAGTCCGGTCGGGATAATTAATCGAAGTAACGAACGCGTAACGAACGAGAATATCACGGTGACAGAGAGAGAGAGAGAGAGAGAGAGAGAGAGAGAGAGAGAAAGAGAGACACGTGATTTATACGCGAGTGAAGCGCGGTCACGTGCGAAAACGGACGTCTGGCGAAAAGAGAATTGACGAGTGACGAGTTGGAAATGACTCAGCGCGCAGGTATGCGCCGATATAGAAAAACCGCGAAGCTTTGAAAGCGATGACTTGTAGACGATATTCTTCGCGCGCTTGAAATTTTACGTTCCACGGGAGAAACGAGTGGAAGAATATTCTCTTTTTTGATTTATTCCGCGCGAATAGGTCTGCTTTTTCAAACTAGTTTTCTTCCTATTGTAAACAGTATTAATAATTTGATATTTATTAATGTTATTAATATAATAAAGATTTATAATAGAATACAATAATTAATATAAAAGATTGATTAAAAGAGGAATTATTACATTCACATGAGGAAAATTCATTTCGCCTATATATTTCTAAATAGTATTTAATAATTAATATAACTGAACGTAAAAACATTATTATATTAAATCTCGTTCAAATACCCAAAATACTGTGTAAAAATTGATACTCCATCCCTCAATGAAACATTTATTGAATTTATAATTCTCTTACACACAATATTTAATATACTTTAGAACGAAAATTCTACCAAGACATCCTTCTTTTTTTTTTTTTTTAATCTAATAACTTATTATTTCATATATTTCGATCATATGTATATATCTGATTCAATTAGCATAAAACAACTATTCTTTTTGTGTCAATTCTAGCGAAAGGCAACGACAAAAGTAACATTTAAACTTTCGAGCAAGTCGTGAACGAAAATTATAGCAACAAGACTAAAAACATATACAACGCGAGATAGAATGCTGATAGAGTATAACAATACGTTTGATCAAAGAACAGTTATTCAGGAAGAAGAAAGAATTTTTTTAACAGAGGATAATTCGTATAGTTTTCACTTTCTCGTGAGTAGTGGGGTAAAGGAAACGGTGGGTCTATTAATTCAAGAGCCGAAAAAGAACCGGAAGTCTCACGATCCTCCGGGCTAACGGACACATCAAAGAGGACAAAGTTTAATTCGATCCACTTACTTTATAACGACGATATCATGCGCGCTTTACTGCTTTGCATTTATATATATACGGTTTACTTTACAATCAAACCGATACGAGATAATAAAATTCACTCGGATGTATTAATGAGATAAAGAGTGAGATAAAGACCGTTCATTAATGCGGAAGTATGTACATGCAAAGTGAAAAAACTAACGCGTCCATTGGAAAAATATTTTATATAACTGGATTTATCTGTTTGTTTGAATTTATTCTTCGTACAAAGTAGATTCCCGGGAAACGTTTAAGCAATTCTTCGGAAATGATACTACAGCACGGGCACAATTCCTATCATCCTAATATCCTCACATCATCAAATGGACGTTCGATCAAACAGATATTTGAGATTTCATATGAATTTGTACCGTAAATTCTATTTGTTTAAAAAAATATTTAAACTCTTCTCTTATTGAATATAAATTCCCAATTTATCACTCGATAAATTCCCAATGTGCTATAATATTACAATTAGTAGTGTACAATATTAAATATCTATTTTTAGAGATTGTGTAAAACGTAAAAATTGCTTGCTTAAAAACTTATAAAACCGGTATCGTTTCCAATTTTGCAGTACTGTCCAATGCAATAAGCTCAAATTAACCTAGAACGTCTGAATGCTGACCAAGATAATGCGGAAATGGACTTTTTTAAAAACTTGCTTCTTCGAAATCAAACGACTGTTCTTTATGCTCGATAGACGAGATGTGCTTCTGACGATGTTTTCTCAGAATTGATAAGATTCATCTTATCCAATAAAACTAGCAGAGATTTACTCAGTAATCTAGCGTCTGACGTTAAGCAACAGTATTCATTGATGAATCTTACGATATATGAAAAACATTTGATATTCCACTACGTTAAATTGAACATTGATAATCGATAATTCGATCAGCTATCAATAAACAAAATGCACAACAAATATTGAACAAAGTACGTCTATGATCTGTAAGATTATTATCAAATTTCCCTAATCAATATTGTTCAGGAAGAAAACTGAAAAGAGGTGCAATAAAATACAATAATTAGTTAAAATAACATATCAATTCTCACTCTCTAAATTTTTAAATGCTATCTAAGGATTAAATACTAAAGCCAAAAATATTATCTGCCATCTCTGTTGTATTATCTCGTTTTCACTTCGCGTCGTATTAGCCCGGAGGAGGGCAGCAGGGAAAGCTCACAGTTAAATCTGAAAAATTGCTTATCTTCTCTGAGATAATAACGACAACAATGCAAAGATAGATTTAAATGCTCGTGAACAGAATATGCGTCACAAAGTTGACGCGCGTCCAAAGATGAGCTACAAAGCGGTGGAAAGATAATTACGAACGCGTCATTTTCGACGAAATTTCGGGCCGCCCTTATGTCACAGACAGTGTAATTAAACGATCGTCGCGGTTACTTTATACATGTGAAAGAGTAAGACAATTAGAGCGATTAACTCCGGGCCGTCTCTCCAAATGTAACCACGACCGTCGAGAAAACTAGCTTTTGTGAATCTAAACTACGTGAAAGATAATAGGAAACGGGTCGCAGACAGAGCACGATAGATTAGTTTCGCGTCTACGCTCTCATTTAACGCTGTAATCTGCTCTCTCTCTCTCTCTCTCTCTCTCTCTCTCTCGCTGTGCCCCGATAATTTTCATTCAACGCCACGTATTGTAATTAAATCAATTGCTTTCGACTAAAAAAAATATACACAGAATAACGCAATACACATTGTTATATGAAGTATTATGCTATATTAAATTTTATGCTGTATTTATTACTAGAAATATTTTTGCTTATAAAAAACAAAATTGCAAAATTGTAAAATGTTACTTACACAAAATGTGATACTAATATTTAAACTGAGTAAAGATACAGAAGTAACAGAAATTAATATTTTGGGATATTTTACTGAGATAATTTCAGATCATGAATTTTAATGAGAAAATAAATTTTTCAAATTATGTTTGTATATAATGTGAATTAATGTGAAAAATGTAATCTCGATTTGTCATGTAACAGATGGATACAGACATGCATGTGCGAAAAATTATGTTATCGTTATGCACACATATATGAAGCAAGGAAAATATTTACTAGTAGTGTATAAACATAACGTAAATGAGAACTGATAGACAATTATAAGAAAATGTAACGACACGTGCACAATAATATTTGTACATTACACTTATCGAACACTATTTAAAACTAACGTTCGATATATTTCATCTTTGTAAAGGGGGAAATATCGAAATAATCGTTTCCAATGTGACCAGAAACGTAAACATATTCAAACGCAAAAAAATGTACCGAGCGACATGCATTTTAACCTAGACGATCATTTCGTCGGGTAAGGTATAATCAATATATCGACTTTCAGCGAATAAATAAATCAGTTTGTTTCAAGCTTTTATTAAAATTGAAACGAAAGTATGCTATTTTGGTAGCCTTCTGATAATAAACAACTTTTGAACACGTACAACCTAACCTAGAAGAGCCACGACGAAAAGCACGAGGTTAAGAAACAATTGTTTTCTCACTTACTTGCATGCTATCGGCCGAAATAATTTCCCCGAGGAATCGACGGGCCAATTCGATACCCAAACGTGATTTTCCACATCCTGTAGATCCCAAAATTGCTAAAACTGGCACACGCGACATATCAACCTCGCTACGTTCACTCATGGTTACTTGAAACTACGCATGCGCAGTCATGGTTTGTGTGTGTTCCTCATTCCGTTCAATCGGTCATGAAAGCCAATGGCGGTCAATTTTAAACGGGCATCTATCACGTATCATTGTCCTTTCATCATTTCACCTACAAGTATTGCATTCATTATGCACATTTAATTCGTTGTTATTAACAATAAAGTATTTTACGATATAACGCTATTTTTACATTTGAATTAATTAGAGTTTCATTCATTTATATAATTTTTTGTACACTTTAAATGTACTACTATTTTAATATTTAGTTAACGTTACTACAACTGTAATTATTATATTTAATACGAAATTATTCTTAGAATAGTGTCAATTTTATTTTATATATTCATCTTGAAATTATTATTTAAAAAAAAAAAACTTTTGGCCTATTCTCATAAGCAAGGTATGTTGTTGGAATGTTACAACATTTGGATCACTTGTACAATCTTAAACGCAATTCACAAATACTCCGTCCTATTATAAATTTTTTTGATTGTGTCTAAACTATCATCATCGAGTTATAAAATCATTACAAGACTTTCTAAACAAATGTAATTTATGTAATTTATAATGTACATTACTGAATTTCAATTCAATGATGCTATAAATTACTTCACAAACAGATTATATCTTACATATCTAACATATTCCAGTTATTAAAAATTCGTGCGATTTATACTCGATAACAGAACAAAAGCATGCGTATTACACACATTTGCCAATGTTATTTTATTATCATTATCACTGATTCGATCAGAAGCCAACTGATTTTAACATGTACCGAAAATCGTTCCCTGTTTCAATCAAGAAGAGATAGCGTTTAGGTACTTGTCCTATTATATCGCATTATATCATAAATATATAGGAGATATGTAACAAGTTTGAAATGTAGTTCAGTTTATACAGCTGATTGATCTGATTAGATCTACATATCGATTTGTAAATAATCTGAGTAAGTTAATACATTTGTGTATATACCAGAGGTTTCAAAAATTGGACAATTCAGAAGCTATTTCTTAACAGCAACATTAGTTACATAGTTGTTGCACTGATACCTATTGGATCTATGATAAAGTGACAATCAACACTGAGAATTTTCTTTAATTTACAGATATCGATTAGTTGATATCACGTGAAGATTAAACTTATTGTCAGTTATTGTTAGTCATTCAACTGCCAAATGTAATATATAATGATATATTATGTAATTATATTCTTCTATACAAACGTATATACATATATATATATACGTTAGTCTCAGCTATATTATTTTATATATTACTTATATATTAATAGTATTATATATTATTTTGCTTTATTTTCTGAAAAATATTTAAAAATTTATTCACCATCTATTTCATACATTATATTTATATTATTTATCTCCATTTCAAAGTCAAATCCTGTTTGCTCGAAATGAACTTCGTTTACAGTTGCTATCTAATAATAAATTACATCGTTCTTTACATCTCCATTACGTAATATCTTTATTAGATATTTATAGATTCTATTTACCAAGTCTAAACGGCACAGTTAATTGAGTGTCGCAAGTTACTTTCGAAAAAGGGAAAAAAAAAGAATCATTTCTCGTTCTCCACCGCCTTCATAAGCGTTGATAAGATAACGTGCTATTATAAAAAGAAAAGCAGCCTTACCTGCTCGTGGGAGATTTCAAATAATTTCTATCTACATGAGCTGAGATAATTCGGCCATTAAGATATGTGAGACTTTATCCTGGAATGGAAAGAGACCAGCTACTGATACCACTGGCAGACATACTTCGTAGTTAAATATCGGTTTAAATGTTACTTTTGCTATTTATCATTCTACGCTATTTACTAGTTACTGTAAAATGTTTAATGACTGCGTCCTCTTTAATAATGTGGAACATAATGTTTTGAAGGCAAGTTCAAAATGCCTTTTAAGTGCAGTTTTGCACTCGTGTTAAAAGATATAATGCTGTTATACGTGTGTGAGTTTTTTTTCTAATCAAAATTGATTTTTTTATTTCTTCTTTTATTTCTTTAGCTTTTCTGATCGACTGAGAAAGTTTTTAATGTACACCATTCAATTTTTTTAAAAAAGTGGAATCACAGACGATTAGATTACTAAAATTGTATTTAATATGATCTCGTAACTAGAATCATTTACAGAGTTCAATTAAATTAAAAATTCTAGAAAATTTAATAATGTAATCCTGATCTGTTACTAACCCAATGTCCAATGACACAAGTTGAAAATTAATTACTGTTGTCATAAATTAAAGAATTTATATGAAACGAAGAATAATTCATATAAATGAAGTACTGCATCACTAATAATCTTGTCTCATTTTCAAGATAAATTTTAACAAATTAAAATTAAGATATACCATCAATTAATATTAAAAGCATCGAACAAAATGATGCACGGTGAAACGTATGTATTAACATTAACAGGCTTGTTCTCATAAATACGCAAAGAAAGTTATAACGACATGCAAGAAACAGTCACAAGTAAGCAATGGAAAATTTTGTGTCCAGAAGAGTTATCCTGCTAGCTGACAAAATAAGATTTCTTCATAGATTTACCAATCTAAATGAACGTTTAGTAGATCAACTTCGAGGAGCTCGATAGCCCCTAAGCTATCAGGCGTCGATTTGACTTCCGAGATTACGTAATATCTTGTTCCAATCTGTTCTTTTACCAAATACTGTCCAATACGCGTATTTTTGAAAATACGATGCTTTCAGAACGATGCTTATATTTATATAAACATTCTTTGTGATTTATATGAACTAAGCGAAGTGAAGCTTATGTATTTTAATCGCAACGTGTACGTTCCAAAGAATCCACTGTTTGAAATACTACTGAATTATGATCTTTCCTCGCCTCTAAATTTGGACATGCCGTGAAATTTTGCTTCAAAGAATTCGAATTTGTGCATAGATAGAACGATACCTATAATTATTAAAAAATCATTGTCACTCGCAAGAAGATTTTTCCTACTCTGATCTTACTTTTAACAGAGGTGCAAGAATTTTAACAGTTCGACGTTCACGAAATTAAAATTTAAGAAGATCCGAGAATTTCAAATTAAAAAATTTAAAAGTGTGAAAACTTCGGGTTTCAGAAAATTAAAAAGTTTGAAAATCCAGAAGTACGAGACACCGAAATTAACATGTTAGGTCGTTCAAAAATAAAATTAGAAATTAATGCCTCGGTTCGTTCGTTTATTAGTTGATTAAAACTATTTGTCATTGTTACGTAAACAGTATCATCCTTCCACTATATCTTCAGTAAACGTCTAACGTAACGTACGAGAGAACGAGCCAAGAAAAGCAGTCGATTCGCATCGTTCGAAGATCAAAATCGAAAATTTTACAAGTGCCACGGGGAGAAATGATGGAAGAAAGTTTCCTCGTAACTGGGCGGCGAGTCGCGAAGCCGAGCAATTTAATTTATAATCAACTTCACACCCGACGAAAGTTTTCCCCGACGATTTCGCGTTCGGCGGCTCGTCCCTCGTGGAATTCCCAGCTACACGTGGTATTTCAGGGACCCGTTATATATCATTCGTTTTATTAGCCACGCGGATGCGCGCACGTTGCCTCTGCTTTCCATAATTCTCACATTTAGCCGCCTAATCGCGGCTGGCCCGTTCGAAATACTCTATTGACGCAACTGCACGGGAACTTTCCACAGGAAGCGCGAAGGAACGTTGTGAAGGCAGAGAGAGGAGAAATGCTAATTGAAAGCAGGCAAGGGCACGAGAGACAACGTACCGTGCGAAGGAAATAAGGAGCGAGAGCGGCCGAACAAACGAGACGGGAGAGAAGAGAGGAAACAAGCGAGAAAAGGGAGCGATGAAAGCGCGGAACGATCGCTTTTATAAAGGAAATTAAAATTAAGGGAGAGCGCCGAGGGAAAAATGACAGAAAGACAAGAGAGACGAAAGTATTTAGTTGTAAAAAAAATTAAATGGAAGGAAAGAAGCGAAAGGGAGAAGGCGAGGCGAGAAAAACGAAAGGGGAGAAGGATAGGGAGAAAGAGGAGCAAAGTGAAAGGAGAGCAGAGGCGGCGAAGCAAAAGAAGGAAATGAAGTAGAAAGAAAATGGTAGAGGAAGAGAAAATAAAGCGAAGGGGAGTTGGATATAAGGGAAGGAACGTTTGCAAAAAGAGAAGGGTAAGGGGAAAAGAGAAGAAAAAAGTGTATCTGATCGGTTTTCGTACGTTCGGGGCATAAACGTCAGCGACCACCGGTGGCTTTCTCGTTAAATTTCTGCCTTGGCTTACCTTCTCCCCGGTTCGCAGTTTCGGATGCATCTCAGCCGGCCATTATCTTGCTCTTCATGACGTCGAATTAATTCAACGAGCGAAATAAAGGCTCGTAAAACCGGTGCCGGTCGTCAATCGTACCGTTAATCGCCATAACGTGATATACGGTACGAGTGAAGTGAGCCGGATGACTGGAATTCGATTACATTCTTCTCTACCTTTTTCTTTCGACATTCTTGTACTTTCCTTCCTCGCTTTTTTCGATTCATATCCCTTTCTCAGTCCCTCCCCCCACCTCCCAGGTTAGGTTGCCGCCGATTGTTAACAAATTCAACCGTCACTATGAACATTCCCTTATCTGCATAATTTTTTTTTTTTTTTTATATATTTCGAACATTTTTCTGTTGCTCGCGACAATTAACGGTGCTTATGAAAGATGCTAGATTAGTAAAATATCAGAAACAAACGAAACGCACGCGCTAATTTTAACCGTGCAGTAATCAATGGAAAAATCATCGAAATGCTATTTGATCGCGCAAACTGGATTTGGGATTTGGGATGTAGAATAGAATGGTGTAAAAGGAAAACAACATAGTTCCGGGTAAATGATAATAGCTTTATTTGCATAAGATAATTTGAAATATAAATGTCAAGGAACTGTCTGACCCTTTTTCCTGAAAAAAAAAGAAAAGAAACATCGAAGACTTTCGGTTTTTCGCCTAATCTGTCGCAATTGATCACTAAACGTAACAAAAAAAAAAAAACAAAAATTCTTAATATGCATATCACGTAAAACTTATATTGCCATCGTATAATTTAATCACTAAACACCTAACTATCGAGCTCTCTTTTTATTT